TTTTTTTTTTTTTTTTATCCCCCAAAGCCCCAGTAGATAGTTGTATGTCATAGTTGCACATCCTTCTAGTTGCTGTATGTGGGACGCTGCCTCAGCAGGGCCGGATAAGCGGTGGGTCGGTGCGCGCCCAGGATCCAAACCCGGGCCGCCAGCAGCGGAGCGGGCGCACTTAACCGCTAAGCCACGGGGCCGGCCCCACCCCACATTTCTAAATCTATTGCTTTTTCTCCTATTTCAACTAAGAATCTTAGTGTAATCTCTAATTCCAGTGTGTTTTTTAATGTGAGCTTAATTTTTAAGTGTGTAATATATACACGTTATAAAATCCAAAAAGGTACAGTTTCTTGTGTATCCTTTTAGGGATAGTCTGTGCACATAAGTATAAATTGTAGTTTTTTAATTATGAATCATAGCACTCCATATACTGTTCTGCATCTCCCCCCCAACCCCCACACACACATACCCACACACTTAAAAATACATCTTGGAGGGCCCTCCCACCCCCCGTGGCCTAGTGGTTAAGTTTGGCGTGCTCTGCTTTGGTGGCCCCAAGTTCGGTTCCCCCAGCACGGACCTACACCACTCGTCGTCCGTGGCCATGCTGTGGCGGCAGCCTAGATACAAAATAGAGGAAGGCTGGAACAGATGTTAGCTCAGCTAATCTTCCTCAAGCAAAAAGAGGAAGATTGGCAACAAGATGTTAGCTCAGGACCAATCTTCCTCAGCAAAAAAAAAAAAAAAAAAAGCCAAAAAAAATCTTGGAAATCTTTTGTGTTGGTTGGGAACATTGGCTCTGGAGCCAGACCCCTGAACTTAAATCTCGGCTCCATTACTTACCATTGGTTGTAATCGTGCTAAAGTTATTTAACCTTTCTGTGTCAGTTTCTGCAGCCTAAAAAAAAATGGAAGTAATAAGGCATTATTTTGAGACATGAGCTGTACCTGTAAACAATTAGAATGGTGTCTGGCACAGTAAGTGCTCAATAAATGTTAACATTGTCACCATCATAAAGTGCTAGTGCATTCTTTTTAGTAACTGTGGAGTACCATTGCAGGATGTTTTAGTTAACTGGCTCTCTGTTGATGATTCTCTTTTATGATTTCAAACAGTGTTGCAATGAATTGTCCATGCATTTTATCAGTGAGATTGAGCATATTTTCATGGGTTTAAGGTCATTAGTATTTTTCCTTTTCTGAACAGTGGGTTCAAATCCTTTGCCTAGTCTGTTAAGTTATTGGTCATTTTCTTAATGACTATAGAAGGCTTTTTGCATATTTTGGAAATTAATCCTTTGAACAATATACAAGTTTAAAATATTTTTTGTTTTATTGCTTGCCTTTTTTTTAAATATTTTATTTATTTATTTTTCCCCAAAGCCCCAGTACATAGTTGTCTGTCATAGCTGCACATCCTTCTAGTTGCTGTATGTGGGACGTGGCCTCAGCATGGCTGGAGGAGCGGTGCCTCGGTGCGCACCCGGGATCCGAACCCGGGCCGCCGGCAGCGGAGCGCACTCACTTAACCACCAAGCCACGGGGCCGGCCCTATTGCTTGCCTTTTGACTTCATTTTACTGTTGGTTTTTTTTTTTTTTTTTAATTTTATTTATTTATTTTTTCCCCCAAAGCCCCAGTAGATAGTTGTATGTCATAGCTGCACATCCTTCTAGTTGCTGCATGTGGGACGCGGCCTCAGCATGGCGAGAGAAGCGGTGCGTCGGTGCGCACCCGGGATCCGAACCCGGGCCGCCAGTAGCAGAGCACGTGCGCTTAACCACTAAGCCACGGGGCTGGCCCTTACTGGTGGTTTTGTTTGTTTTAACCATGCAGAAAACTTTGTCGTCTTTTCTTTTATAAAAGCTATATGACATGGTTTGATGTCATGTTTAAATAGGCTTACCTTATTTTGAGATTATAAAAAAAATTCTCTCGGGGCTGGCCCTGTGGCTTGGTGGTTGGGTTCAGCTTGCTCTGCTTCAGCAGCCCGGGTTCATGGGTTCGGTTCCCAGGCGCAGACCTATACCACTGGTCAGCCATGCTGTGGTGGCGACCCACGTATAAAGAGAGGAGGATTGGCATGGATGTTGGCTCAGGGCTAATCTTCCTGAAGCAAAAAAAAAGGAAGATTGGCACAGATGTTAGCTCAGGGTGAAGCTTCCTTAGCAAAAAAACCAAAAAAAACCTCTCATTTCTTCTAGTATTCTTATGATTTCAGTTTTTACATTTAAATCTTTGATCCATCTTATATTTATTTTGGTGTTAGCTGGAAAATAAAAGCATGACGTATATCCTTACCCATTCAAGGGTCAGCAACTTAGCTCTGCCTCCTCAGTCCTTTCTGAAGTAAATACTGTGTAAATAAGCCTCAGCTTTCAGAAATACCAAACTTCTCCTGGATTTTTGAGGTTAAGTGGAAATGTTTGATTTACTATTATTGAGGACATCCTCATAAATGCAGGGGAAAAACACCTTTACCTGTAAACTCCAGGTTAAGTATGTTGCAATAAATGAACCAAACATTGCATTCTGGAGAAATATTTAGGGATTTATTCACTGGAGGTCATTTATTCGTAGGATTCTTTTCTGATCTTATTCTCTTCTCACCTTACTTAGGTTGCGAGTCATAAGGACTCAGCATCACATAGAGGCCCTTGTCGAGCATCGCAGTGGCCAGGTCGTGGTTTCAGCATCCACGCGTGAATGGGCTATTAAAAAGCACCTTTATCGTACCAAAAATGTGGTGGCCTGTGAGAGTATAGGAAGAGTGCTGGCGGAGCGATGCTTAGAGGCAGGAATCAACTTCATGGTCTACCAACCAACTCCTTGGGAGGCAGCCTCAGACTCGGTATTTTTGTTTTCATGTACTTATTTAAAAGGTAGTGTGTTAGTTCTTGCCGTTAGATACTTACATAATAATAATAATTCTGTTTATCAAGTTCTTTCATGTGTCAGACCCTGAGGTGAGTATCCTGATGTGCGCTATGTCATTTCATCCTCACAGCAGCCCGTGGGGTCAGGGCTAGTGTTCTGTTCTGTATATAGGTAACCTGAGGCTGGCTTGCCCGGGGCCACAGGGTGACAGAGTCTATAGCACGATGTCGACCACTCTACTTCCGTGTTCATATATTAACTTCTTGTACATAATGTTTTTAAATGCTACTAATCCTTGACATTTCTACATTCTTTTCATTCTTATCTATGACATTATTAAGATCACTTTCTGAAAAACCAGTGTAGCCTGGGAAGTTAGCAAGGAACAAATCAGTTATTTCTCTTTCTCTTGGGCAGTGAACTGTTGAGCGTCAGCTTACTTGTGGTGCTGACTTCATCTTTTCCTTGTTTTCTGCTCTTCAACACCAGATGAAGCGACTGCAGAGTGCTGTGACAGAAGGTGGGGTGGTGCTGCAGGAGCCTCGGAGAATCTATGAGTGAAATGCAAGCGTTGTTTGGAACGTGTAGATATAAAGCTGTCGGCTCTTACATCCGTCAGAAGAGAGCGTCTGGAAGAACAGCCAGCTTGGGAGTTTTAGACAATAATGTGACAGCAGAATGTTAGTAGTAGTTAAGGTCATCCCGTCCTCCCCTTGTGTTTGTTTTTTTAAATCAAGGGCTAAATTCTTCCCCTCTCTTGGACATGAGGGATGTATCTGAGAAAAGCTGTCACCAATTATAATTAACTTTTGAAGGACAAATTAAATGCTGTTTATAAGTTAAAGAATAAAGGCATATTATGAACTCTTCCGGTTATATGAAATTTTCTCTGCCTTTGAGCTCACTGTGGCATGAATATGAGGCTGATGCAAAGCACTTGTTACCGTGTCTAGCTCATAGTGTGTGACCTCAATAAATGATAGCTATTGCTGCTCAGGGTGTGCAGGTGGGTCTTTTTAATAGGAAATGTCAACATCAGTCAATTTATTATAGTAATGTGAAGATAGAAGGGGCAAATCCTGACCTCAGTTGGGCTCCTGGATCCTAACAGAACCAGATTTGAAAGAAGAAAGGAATGCAGTGAGGATCTGAAAATAAAGGTGGAAACAGACAGGGTTAGTGTATACTAAATTTGCCACAAAGTGAAAATTTGTTAGATAAGAGATGAAGCTTGAAGTGCATTCAAGTTAATTTAAAATTGAAGTTGGGGTAATGGGAATCATGGCAGTTCTCTTAAAGCAGTTGATTAAATCAAAGTAAAGTGTTAACTCGGGCAGTTAAGACAAATGTGAAGAGGAAGAGCCTGTGAGCAGTTAAGGTGGCTGCTAGAGCATTTTCTCTCCAATTTTTAAATGTGTACTCAATTATATATTTATATAGAAGTGAAATAACATTACTGCTGTCGATCTGAGTATTCAATATATTATTTTAAAAAGATAACATGTATGCACCAACATTTTTTAAGAAGTAGGATTGATTCTGAGAGGCCTTCAGAATGCAATGGCGTAGTAGCCTGGTTTTGATAATAAATACCCCAGTGGAGACATTTAAAAAAATATATTATAGTTCTCATATTTTCTTCTCTCACTTTAAAGATTAATTGGAGCATCTTGCTTTGAAGACCACAGTTGTAGAAGTTTGTTCAAACAACTTTAGAATTCAAGGGAGGACGTAAAGAAGACCATGGACTGGACTAGTGGCTTGGGAAATTGACAAAAACAGGGTTGGCCTGTAAGTGATGCTGTAGGTAGGGATTTTTTGTGCAAGGAATATGATTGTCCTAGATCAGCTCTGTGCACCAAGGATTCCTGCAGTTTGAGGGGCAATTCTTCACCCTTTGTGTGGCAAGTTTGATATAAGGTATTATAAAGACAGCAATGATGCAAAGTAAAGTGAGGAAAAAGATGGGGTGAGGGGGAGAGATGGGGACAGTCCAACATTGGCGATGATGGCGAAGTTGGGAGGAAGTGCTAATTTACAAAACAGACAAGCTGTGGTCCTTCCATCCCGCAGCTGCAGTACCTGCTTACTGCAACTCCTTCAGGTGCTGTTTACCGGTCTACTTTCCCCTGCCATGCCTCATAACACTCTAGGTCTACGTAAATGACGTTCTCCTCTTATATAGGGACTGCAAAGAAATTGCCGCGGAGCAAGGTCACTGGGCTTTGACTGCAAGGCGGAGCCTAGCAACCCTTCACCATAGCGGGCAAGGTGTAAAATCCAACACCTGGGGGCGGGCAGGTGGCGTGGCCAGCAGCCCCATCCGGAGGCGCCCGGGGCGAGGGGCGCGGGCGCGGGGGCGGCCGGTCTCCCGCGCGAGCCCTTTAAGGCGGCGGCTCGGCGGAAGCGCGTGGCCGCACCGGCGCCTCGGCCGAGCTGCGTGGCCATGGACGTGGGCGCCGACGAGTTCGAGCAGAGCCTCCCGCTGCTGCAGGAGCTGGTCCTGGGCGCGGACTTCGTGGGTGAGGCGCCGGGATCCCGGGCCCTGTCGCCGGAGCCCCGGGCCGGGGCGAGCCTGCGGAGAGGGTGGTGCGGGCGGGACGGGGCGGAGACGCCAGGCCCAGCCGGACGGTCGCCAGGCCGCGGGAGGCTCAGAGAGGGCCCCTCCGAGGGACAGGGAGAGTCCTTCTCGGACCTGGGCGGTGGGACGTTGAGCAGCAATGACACCCTTGGCTCCGCTGAGGCCCAGGCGGACAGAACGGGCTGGCCTGGCTTGTGCTCGCTGTGGCTGCCTCTGTTTTCCCTTCCTGACCTCACCTGGGCTCTTGAGCACCAAGAGGGTGAGCCGCGTTGTGTGCCACCTGCAGCATCGACAGCTTGAAGAGCGGCGGCAATGGGCCGCACCTGGAGGCTCATGTCCTCTTTGCCTCCCCGCAGGTCTGGACATAGAGTTCACCGGCCTCCGTTCTAACCTGTCCCGGCCCCAGCAGATCAGGTAAAGCTGAAGCTACCTTAGAGCCAAGCCAGAGGGGCTCACCTGGGCTGCTCTGGAGAGCATCCTGGCTAGGCCATCCTTGGTTCTCACCAGGCACTCTGTTGGCATTGGGGGGGGGCAGGACATTTTGTGTGAGGGTCCGGAGGCCTAGCCTTTGTCCACCAAATGCTGGTACTGTTCCCTCCTTGTTATGACAAGGAAAAATGCTGCCCCGGTTGAGAGGTGCTGATCCAGCCTGGAGCCGGTGGCGCCCGGGTCCCATCTCATTGCCTGTAGGATGAGATGGCTGTTTTTCCACAGTCTTTTTGACTTGCCATCGGAGTGGTATCTAAAGACCCGTCGGAGCGTTCAGCAATTCACAATCTGTCAGATCGGTGAGTTTAATCTTCAGTTGTTATGAGTTACTGAAGGACATATCTTTATTGTCTTTGTGTTTCCTATTGGTAAAACAGTCTTGACACCTTTCAAGGATATTGGCTATCATTTTATATGTTTGGTTTTGGCCATGTTATGCCTGTGGGGCCTAACACTTTAGAACAAGCAGAAACCCAATTTTCCAGTGTTGTTTCTATGCATAAATAAATTGCCTTATGGAACCTGTACCATCTTTCAAGGAAATGTGTGTGTGTGACTTTTGTGTAAAGAAAACTTATGCAAACAAGATTGTCCTATAAACAATTTGTTCTGCGTCTTGTTTTTTTACTAATGGGGTTTAGAGATCTTTCTATATCAACATACAGATCTCTTGTTCACTTTTAACAGTTGCATTGTATTCCAGACTATGAAGATATGTATTGACTCAGTCTCTTAATGACTCATACTTCGGTTACCACTACTGTAATAAAACAAGGTTGCATTGACTATCTTGGTACTTATATGTTACTGTACTTGTGTGAGTACGTGTCTTTGGTATACTTCTAGCAGTGGAATTGCAGAGTTAAGTGCATTAAAGTAGTGATTTGTGTTGCCCAATTCTTCCTCTTCCTACCAACCATCCAGTTTAGTGACTCACACTAACAGCTGTGAATGTGCCTGTCTCCTTCACTGACACCAGGTATTCAGTCTTAAATTTTTTGCCCACCTGGTAAAAGAAAAATAATCTAATTGTTATTCTGATTTACATTTTTAACACAGGATCAACAAACTTTCTGTAAAGAGCTAGACAGTAAATATTTTAGGTTTTTCAGGCCATATGGTCTCTGTCTTTGTTAATGGGAAATCAGCTATAGATGATACATAAGTAAATGAGCATGGCTGTATTGCAATAAAACTTTACAAAAACAGGTCGGGAGACAGATTTTACTGATCTTTGCTTTTCCTATGAATGATGGTGTGTGTTTTACTCTCTTTCTTTGTCCTTGCCATTTTTCTATTTTCCTAAATTATAAGACCTCTTTGAAAAATATGGGAAACAGCACTTAGATATGTTTCTATTCTCTCCCTACTTTGAAGTCTTTTTCACTTGGTGTATGGTCTTGTTAGCAATACAAACACTTTAAAGCAATTAAATGTATAAGTCGTCATGGTTTTTAGTGTTTCCTCTGGTTAGTTTAAAACCATAAAATGTCAATATTTACTTCTATGTTTGAAGAACCATTCACAGTCAGATTTTAGTAATTTCAGCATGAATTACAATTTGACAGTGCTCGTGTTTTGGATCTGTCTCTTCTTCCTCTTTTTTTTTTTTTTTTTTTTGAGTGGTTCTCCTATTCTAAAACCTACGCAGTATCTTTGGATGCAAAGTAGTGTCCAAAATGTTTTGTTTTTATAGTTAAGTGCTGGTAGCTTTTCTTGGTATTCACTTCCTCTATCATTCTTCCAGGATTGTCTGTGTTTTCCAGTATTGAAGGAGAGTCAAATAAGTATGTATAAAGACCTTTTGCAAAACACACAGCTCTTGCCCGTTTGTCTTCTCTACCTGCTCTCTTCCAAATTCTGATTCAGGCTCCCAATTCTGAACCACGTTGGCCCTGGACACTCCCTGTTGCCTCCTGCTTCTGTGCCCTTCCCCTCCCTCCCTCCCCTGCAGATTCCGGCTTGTCCAAGTCTCTCTCAAAACAGCACTTTTTCTGGAGGCCTTTCCTGACACCTCTGCCCTGAATCTTAGGTGTCCTTTCCCTGGTTCTGTTGTCTCTTGGGTGGCCTTCAGGATAGCAGTTAAAACAGTGTCACAATGAGGGTGATGTGTCTCCCAGACACCAGCAGTCAGCCCCTGGGCTCAGGATGGGGGGTAGGCTCTGCTCCCGAGGGCAGGATCTCTGCCTTTCTTCATTGGCCCCAATGCCAGTCCTGGTACTGGAAACTTAGCCGACATTCATGTACTTCTCCAGTGAAGGGAAGAGCCCACTTTGAAGCCTGCTGTGTGAGCCAGGCTTTTAAAATGATTTTGGTGTTTTCTCCTTATGGTTATCTTTTTTTATAGGTACGTAGCCCATTCGTGTAACTTCTTTCTTTTCCCTACAACGTTTGGGATTTTGGATTCGGAATTCTCTTTCCAGGCTTCCAGTGTTCAGTTTTTGAATCAGTATGGCTTCGACTATAACAAGGTACGGCGTCGGAGGAGGGAAACGGGGAGGTTTCAAAGTTTACCTAGTCTAGCTGGTCTCTGAGTCGTGTTTTCTGTCCCTTGCTTGCTGTCCACGTGAAACCAGACAAGGAAGGTTTCTTTTTGCTCTGCTACCGGGCACAGAGGATGCCTCTGACTAGTCTCCTTGTCTGTTCCCATCTTTAGTTTCTCAAAAACGGAATCCCATATATGAATGAAGAACAGGAGAAGAAAATTAAACACAACATCCTGACTGGGAACTGGAGCGTTCGCAGGTGAGGCCTATTTCTCTGGGTGCTTTGTGGCTTTCTCTGTTGCTGGTGTTTTTCTGCGTTTCCCTTGGGTAGACTGCTGTCTCCGGAGCGTAGTGACCTCATGCCATCACCTTTAGCTGGGGTGGCTTCTGCAGGATGCGCTCAGCCAGACACAGCAGCTCAAAGTGCTGGTGATTCCGCTCCTACGCCTGAGTGGAGAAACCTGTCACCGCATTAAGTGTGATTTTAGTGTTTAAAAATGAAGGGGGAAAAAAAAAAAAGAACTGACTCTTACGTTGGTACTCAAAGTAGCAGGAACTCCATTCCAGTGCTCAAGGAGAAAAATGGCTCTGTTGGCCTTACCATGAGATGTTATGTTGGCCTTCCACGTGATCTTAGGGATTTTTCAGGGGTAAATCGTGGGTAACCTTGACCGTGCAGTCACAGGCCTCGGCTTGGACACATCGCCCCATGTGCTTGATCCTGCTGTGTGCCCCAAGGGCAGGATCTCTGCCTTTTTTCTTTGTCCTCCGGTGCCTGTCATCATACTCGAAACCCGGTACTGCCGTAGAGCTGGGGACAGGAGTGATGGAGTGAGTGGCAGTGTTGTGTGGTAGAAGGAGCAGGCCACCCGGTCCCAGGCAGGCCCTGCTGTCAGCTAGTTGCGTCATTTTGAACAAGTCATTTAAGCTCTTTGGGCTTTAGGTTCTTTGCCTTTACAGGAAGGGGGTTAAATTTGACAGCTTTTAACTCTGGAATGTTATGATTGGTTATCTGGTCCAGATAATCATCTTACATAATGTTGAGGTTTTTTTTTTTTTAATCCTTGTTTGTGATTTTCATATACAAATGTAGCTTTTTGTAAGGGAAAAACAATTTGAATTTTTAACCTTCTGTTAGTTTCAAATGTTGGAGAAAAGTCTTTCCTTATCTCAAAATAACATCCTGTTCTTCTATTTCTAACAGAGGAGAAGATGTGCTTACCAAAGTGCCTGTCTTTTCCTTATTTCACCAAATGGTGCTTCTTCACCTCTGAAAGCTGAGTTAAGAAGCCAGGCCTGACAGTAGTGCTTAGTGTTGGCTAGCTCCCAGTACCTCTTCCTGCAGCGTCCTGGAGAAGCAGAAGGGGATGGTGCGCTCCTGTGAGCATGTGGGAGAGGATAGGCCAGGTGTTTGGCTTCCTGTTGCAGAACAGGACTCAGACAATAAGTGGTCTCTTGGGGTCTGTTTTCTTGCTGAGATCACAGCGTTAAAACTGGAGGCCTCAGACACCTCTCCCCTATTAGCACTGTCCTACAGTTCTGGGGGTGTCTCCAACGCTTCATGTGCCCATTTTCAGTTTTCTCCAACATTTCCACTTCATGTCCCCGTTTTCAGTTCTCTGGATAAAGACCAAATCAAGGTGGTGATTGATGAGGTGACACGGTGGCTGGACCTGGCAGACGAAGGCGACTGGATGACTCTCCCTGGTATCGCTGGTAGGCAGGAGGCTGCCCCCCGACCTGGGAGTGTTGGAAGTGGTCACTGTCCCGTCCCAGCGGGTGGGGAGCATACCTTCTCCTTCCCCTAGATCCTGGGCATCAGCTCAGCAGACATGTGGTCTGCTCTTGTTAGGTAAATCTCTGACTTCAATTCAGAAGTTGAAGGCTTTTCGACCTACTTTTAATTTTAAGGCTGAGGAAGTCGAGTTCCATTCAGAGCCATCCTTTCCATCCCAGTCCTGAGTGCCACGTACTGCTCTCTCGTTCACTTTTGTTACTCTGGATTACTCCTCCATGGTGCAAGGTGGCATCGCAATGAACAGCTCTAGATCAGTGGTTCTCAGCACTGGTCTGTGGACCCCAGGGGTCTCTGAGACCCTTTCCAAGGGGTCCACGAGATCAAAACTATTGTCAAAATATTACTCGGCTACCATTCGCCATTGTCGTTGTGCCATTTGCACTCATGGTACTGAAGCACTGGTGGGTAAGCCTGCCAGCACCCTAGCACAGATCACAGTAAGGTGGGAGCGTCAACCACACTGGTGATCATATTCTTTGTTACCACTTACTCAGTTGAAAAAAATCCAATTTTACTTAAGAACCTCCTTGGTGAAGAAGTAATAATTCTCAATTTTATTAAATCTCAACCTTTGCTCATCTTTTAAAATATTCTATATGTCAAAATAAGTATGCAAAAAAAAAAGTATGCATAATACATGGCTGCTGCTGCTTACCAAAGGCTAGCGGTTGTCTTGAGGGAGAGCACTTGTGCAA